CACTCAAAAGGGAGGCTTTGCTACTAAATTGGGAGAAGATTAAAAGACAATATTATTTAAAAATTCCAGTCTGGCTATCAACTATAGAAGCACTCAAAAGGGAGGCTTTGCTACTAAATTGGGAGAAGATTAAAAGACAATATTATTTAAAAATTCCAGTCTGGCTATCAACTATAGAAGCACTCAAAAGGGAGGCTTTGCTACTAAATTGGGAGAAGATTAAAAGACAATATTATTTAAAAATTCCAGTCTGGCTATCAACTATAGAAGCACTCAAAAGGGAGGCTTTGCTACTAAATTGGGAGAAGATTAAAAGACAATATTATTTAAAAAATCCAGTCTGGCTATCAACTATAGAAGCACTCAAAATGAGATAATTGGATCCAGGGCATGGCAAAAGTTCATAAATATGAGTCAATTGCCAAGCGTCCGGATTTTGATCACGTGACCATGGGGATGCAAGTTCATGTGTACTTGTGAAAAATGGTAATAAGCCCTTTTATCAGTGCCGTTGTAACTTCGAACGGTCACTAAATGAACTGTTATAAGTCGAGGATTCCCTGTGAGGCAAAAACCATGAGGTTGATCTGACTACCATTAGCTGTGAAAGAGCGAAAGGTTTGAAATAGACCTGAAATGTGAAAGCCCTTCCAACCAGATTTTGACAGCAAGGCCAGATCTAGATGAAGGAGAAGTGCCAAAGTGCAATGCATCCTTATCATAACCAGAGGATTTTAGCAAGGCTAAATCACCATAGTAAAATTCTCTGTAAAAACCTTGTACTCTTGCACTTTTATTTGCTGAATGGGACTTTCTTATGGCTGTGCTTGTCTCAGTCAGACCTTCTGTCTACCTTGCCAGCCATTGGGGGCCGGGGTGGTGGTGGTGCTCAGTGGCAGATCCAGTATCTCAAGCTGCTCCTACCATTGCAATAATAATCCTCGATCAATGTCATCCACAACACTCGCATCTGTTAGGGCTCAACCACAATGCTATCCCAGAGTGATAGTAATGCTAAAGCATAGAAATGTTGGGGCCATCAAGAGGATGGAGACTTCTTCACCAAAGATCTACATTCCCAGACATCTCTCTCTCTCTCTCTCCTCTGTCTGTCTGTCTGTCTGTCATCCATCTATCACCCATCCATCCATCTCTCTCTCTTTCTCATCCATCTATCATCTCTTTATCTCTTGCTAACAATCATTCATCCATCTATGCATATGTATGTGCATATGCATATATATTTAATTACTGACTTTTGTTCAATAAATCACCAACCTAGAAACCGTCTCTGAAGGACTGGATATAAATCCCTAAAGTAAAGGGTAATTTATCTAATCCAGATTGCCTGATGACGATGGGAGCTGTAGTTTAATCAATGTAAAAGGTGCTACACTGGGGGAAGACTAAGCTATTTTTCGTAATTTATCACATGGCAAATAAATCCTTGGTGAATACTCGGCCATATACTTATAAGAGATAGAACGAAAGAAATGGATTAATCGCAAATATGATATCTGTGTTCCTCTCGTCTTTGCTCTGGGGCGCAGGGGCTACACATTAATCTTATAATCTTTTGGGGAAGAGTTGCTGAGGGATTAGATCAACCATCTCTAACCCAATTCTCTCTCATTACCCCAGCAACCACCAACAAACATGCCACTGAAAAAATCCTAAGCCTTTTCAATAGCTTTTTTCCCTTGTGTCAGTATTTCAGTCTGCTTGGCATTATCTATATAACATTATGAAGAGCATCCTAAGTATAGAGGAATTGAATAATATATTGGTGGCAGCTATAATGTACAGTATTGAAGAATCCAAGCAGAAAAACTAGATTTCTGTAAGACCAAACTCACCCAGTTATTTATATACTACTAAAAATCTCACTGTCATGACTTTTAACTGGGCAAACCAGTGCATCCTAGGGCACCAACTTTAAACCAAGGTGCCTCAAATGAGCTAACTTACAGTATGTGTCCAAAATCCAGACTCATGATTTTTGGGAAAGTGAAATTTAGGAAAACTGTGGCTGCCTCAGAGCCAATGGCTGCTGCGGTACTGCTGCTATGGTCACGTGAACTTCATTTTCAACATTTCATGACAGTTTCCCAGCCAGTCCAGCAATGCCTTGCTCCTCCCCCACCCAGCAGCAGCCATTTAACTTGCTGAAAGAGAAGGGAATAGGAAAGAATAGGGGAGGAAGAAAGGGAGGAGGAAGGGCCATGCAGCCTTCCCGACCCACCCAATCCTCCATGCAACATCCCCGACTTGCATGGCACATCTCACATACTCTCAAGGATCCCCAGACCTTTCTCTACCCGCAATCTCCCCATATGCCCTCCCCCATCTACAAGGCACCTCTCATACAGCCCTGTGATCCACACGCACCCTTCATGACCTGTGCCACACTTTTGCCCTACCTGGCCAACATGACATCTCTTACACCTCCCCACGATCCCCACACAAGGGGCTGCATGCTACCTGACACGTGGAATCTCTTGCACACGCACACACCCTCTCCCTGAACTGAGCATCACCTCTTGCACATCTCCATGCACAATTGCTGACTCACAGCCCACCATTTGCGGGGGGGGGGGGGCAGAGGTAGGGAAGGGAATTTCCAATGGTGCCCACCAGTTTTCCACAAGGAAACTCAATAGGAAACTCAATAGGAAGTTGGAAGCAGCTCCCATTCTCCCCGTTTTTCACATCGGTGGTCTCTGTTCACATTCTGTTTCTCTGTTTAAATAAGGAAATATCTTTGAACCAATGACCCATTGGAGCACGGATTTACTTTATTTAATTTATATCCCACATGTATTATTTTTATAGAGAACTCAATGCAGTAATCATAGGTAATACTCCTTACTCCTCCTATTTTCCCTCCACTACAACAGCCCTGTGAGTTGGGCTGGGAGTGTATGACTGGTTCAAGGTCACATAGCCAGTTTTCATGGCTAAGGTAGGAATTTCATCATCTCCTGGTTTCTAGAGTGGTGCTTTAACCACCAGACCAAACTCGTTTGTGTAGTTCTTCCTAACTGGGTAAATTCCATCAAAATAATCCTTTAATTTTCCAGCCAACTTCAGGTTTCCTCTTTCATTCAACATGCAAGACAATCTTGCATTTATCTTCTGCCTTCTTTATTTTTGCATCAGTGTTATGAGGTAGCTACTTAGATACACTTTCCCTAATCTTAATTTTTGTGGATAAACTGTGAGATAAACTTGCTTCATCTTCTGCTTTGTCATTTGTCTATCATAGGCAGCAATAGGAAGACCATAACATAGGGAGGTTACCTGCAGGGCAAGTTGGAGAAGCTGTAACTGAACTAAATCCCAATCTGCTTGCCTATATAAAGATAAACCTGAAGCTAGTTTATAACACATCAGTTCGAATTTCCTGCACTTGTTTTTTGTCGAGAATCATCTCTCTGTGTTCCTTCTTTCAAGGAAACAGTCATGATATTAAGGCACAAAAAGCTGAACACAATGCTTTCCAGAGATATTTACCTGTCATTCCTAAACATTTTAGGTAGATACCTTCTGGGGAACCACATAGCCAGAGCACACATCAGAACCCAAAGTATAGCAAGTTCATCGAGCATCTGACCCAGGAAGCTAAGCGTAGCATGGAAGTAGACAGAGCCAATTCCTAGAGAGATACAGTAAATGATTATTATTCTACCTCTAAGGCATGGTCATATCATTATTTTCCAATGACTGTCTGAAAACGTAAACCTTTATACTTTAGATGAAACATACTGTACAAGATGAAAAGCCAAGTTATAAAAGAAAGACAACATTCACCCTCCCAAATCAACATTTTAATGCACTTCCCCCCCCCCCCAAAATCTTGTGAAGATTTTGCTCGGCCAGGCAGTCTTAATAGAAATATTTAATTCAATGTTCTTAATAGCACTGAAGCAGGACAAATCTTATACAATCCTTGGTCTAGGGAGGAATAATGGGTGATTTTTCCCATATAATTTTTTACTTAAGATTTTTATTCTGTTTTTTTATATACTGTGGTTTTTCTTGTCAGTATTGGTGGAAATATTCTTGATGGTTCCTTGATTAAGCTCTTATTTACTGTTTGTTTGTCTGAGTTGGTACTTCCTTGATTGGGGTATTGTTTACTTCTTGATTATTGTTAATCTTGGTATTAATCTCTGCTCATCTGGGTATTTATTAATGGTTTTTGGAATTTTCTTTTTGATGTTTTTCTTTTTGTTGGCTTTACAATTGTCTCTTTTGAATGGTATATAGATGTTGTTTATCTTTATGTGCCTGTTGATGGCTGATTTGTCTCAGTGTCAGGCTTCTAGAAATTCTCTAGCGGTTTGACTTGGTCTAAGATGCTGATACTCCTGCCTTCTCTTTTCCCCACAACAATCCTGTAAGGTAGTGAGACTGACTCAAAGTCACCTAGCTGGCATTTGTGCCTAAACTCAAGTCTCTGGTTTGCAGACTAATAGCTTCACCTCTACTTCAAACCGTTCTCCCCATTCACTGAGATTTTATACAGGGAAGAACACCAGTTATATATTTTGGACTTCAATTCACATCACCTCTAGGCACTTTGAACAAATGACACAGGAATGTGGAATTTTTAGTTAAAAGTATTTGGACAACACCAAGTTGCCTACCTAACTGGAGATACTGCCAAGAGGATGTTCTATAACAGATAAATTGCTAGTTAGAGACGCCCAGAGTTGGTTATCAGATGAACGGCTATGTAATTATTTTAAATAAATGAAGAAAATAAAATAAAAATATTGTGCGATCCATTTCACAATCAAGGAAGAGAAAGAGCGCAATCATGCTTATCCAAAATAAAAAATAAATAAAATTAAACAATTTTGACTTGGGTTGTTTCTGTGTGTTTGTATTTTAGCTACTGGGTATTTCTTCGGATTCCTATGGGAGCAGAACTTATGGACAAAAAGAAGTGACGACATAACTTAGCAAAAACTGGATTGCTACAACATCACTAGTAATAGCCAAAGGAATCAGTACAGTAAGATGATTATATTAGTAAGGCTATTATATGATACATTAAAGGGGTCATGATGGTATCAGCTTACAATACTGTTCTTTGTTTTGAGTTCATATTCTGCTTCTGAATTAGATGTACTCCTTGACTTACAACCCATTCATTTAATGACTGTTTGAAGTTACAACGGCACTGAAAAAATGTGACTTATGATCTTTTTTCACTTCTGACCCTTGCAGCATCCCCAATGTCATGTGATCAAAATGTGGATGCTTGGCAACTGTCATGTGTTTATGATGGTTGCAGTATCTTTTGCAACCTTCTGACAAGCTAAGTCAACAGGGAAGCCAGATTCACTTAACAATTGTGTTACTAACTTCATTCCAGTGATTTCTTAACAACTGTGACAAAAAAGGTCACCCAATGGGGCAAAACTCACTTAACTGCCTTGCTTAGCAATGGAAATTTTAGAGTCCACTGTGGTCAGAAGTCGAGGACCAACTTGTAGTTATATGCTTAAACACCCACTCAATTGAGGTATCTTTTGATTTCATGGTACTGTAGTACATAATTTAAAAATAATAATCTCCTAATTTTCATGTCAGATCCCATAAAAATTCAGAATAACTTACCTACAACTACTAGCAAGGTCCATATTAAATATATTCCACTGTTGAAGCAGGTTGCATATTGTCGGAATAAGCACATACATATAGGGGGCAGGACAAAAAACAAGACGTTGCTTATCTAGAGAGAAAAATGGAAAATATTTAAATAAGGAGAAAGAAATTACAGATTTTTTTTCTTCAATCCTTATCTCTGGTAGGAATTTTGCATCATTAATCAAGTGACAGCCCTAGCAATCATAACAAAGGAGACCTTAATTAATCAGTGTTTTGCTATTTTCACTGTATACAGCAGCTTTTCAGGCCAAGGGGAAGATCTCCCTATATGCTGTTGTGACACATCTGTGAGATATTTTTTTGCAGTTAAAATTGCTCACATTTGCTCAGTATCATTTGAGTAAGATTTTGAGAGATGATCAGGGATTCTTCTGAGTTTGTAACGATCAAAGGATCAAAGAGGGATCGTCAGAGCATAAGCTCTGCCATCTGTTGACCAACGCCTTACCCAGCTCCTTCAGGCAATCAACTGGGGGAGTAGATGTTGCTGAATTGCTGGATTGTCTTAATCCAGGTATATTTTTGTATTACTGTGTGATTTGCAAGTATTACTGCTTTGGACAGAAGGTTGTGCAGAGTGGTGAGAACAGCAGAAAAGATTATTGGAAGTTTACTCCCTTCTAACCAGGATCAGACATAGAAGAGCTGCTTGACCAGGGTTTGCTGTATTACATGAACAGTTTTGTTCCTTATCTTCTGAGATGAGATTTTGTAGTACCAAAACAGAACTAGATTCTGTAATTCTGTTTCATACCCTATAGTATCAACCTTGTTAACTCTCATGTCGTTTTTCCACTTTGTATTCTAAAACTCTGTGTGTGTGTGTGTGTGTGTGTGTGTGTATTTGAGAGCAGGCATCAGAATTTCATTTTTTTAATGTGTGCTGGTGTATTCCCACAAAAAAAGTGACAATAAAGGTTCTCTTATCTATCTATATTGGAAACAATCCCATTTCCTCTTTGAAGGAAGGTTTCAGAAAAGGTAGCAATAGCAATAGCAATAGCAGTAGACTTATATACCGCTTCATAGGCCTTTCAGGCCTCTCTAAGCGGTTTACAGAGAGTCAGCATATTGCCCCCAACAATCTGGGTCCTCATTTTACCCACCTCGGAAGGATGAAAGGCTGAGTCAACCCTGAGCCGGTGAGATTTGAACCGCTGACCTGCTGATCTAGCAGTAGCCTGCAGTGCTGCATTTAACCACTGCGCCACCTTGGCACCTTGGTGCCGAGCTTCAATCAGGATCTAGCCCAGGGAAGTGTATACAAGGAGTACTTGCTTAATAGCTGCCCTATTTAGTGAATGATCAAAGTTAAAGGTGCTGAAAAACCGTATCAACCATTAGCACCAGTCACTGGTATTTATAATGCATTTTTGAATGTTCAATTGGCTGAGTTTCATGTTTAATGAATAAAGTAAATAATAATAGCAACAATAATAACAACAATAATAAATTAATAATTAATAATTGATTATTAATTATTATTATTAATAATAATAAGGTACCGGATCACTGTAACATTCTCACGTAATCGTGGCTGCCTACCCGAGTCAAGCCAGGAAATCGTGGTTTACAAACCACTGTGGCACATTTTGAGCCCAAAATCTAGATCCACCACGTTACACGGGGCACCCCCACCTGATGCACAGGTTCCTTCTTTTTCCAGCCCATCACGCAAGCAAGGAGCTTCCACCGGACTATTCCTGGAGCGGCTCCCAGGCCGGCTAAGCGTGTAGGAACGCAACTTTTTTTTTGTTTTTGCAAACCCCTCCAAAAAGCAGCGCAAACAAGCGCCGGACGATTGCAAACGTGCGCCGAAGCGCCGCGCTCTCTCCCCCTTTTGCAAAAGCCGAGAGGCGGAGCAGCGGCTCCAAGTTACGCACCGTGTTGTAAAACTCGGCGATGGTGGGCACGATGGTGTAGTTATCCTCGCACCAGTCCAGTTCGGAGCTGCCCGCCCGGAGATGATCCCACAAGAGGAGGGCGATCATGGCAACAGCTTTTTTAAAACCAGGCTGCCCCGCAGTAGAAACTCGGGCAAACGCTCATCCGGCACCGGCTCGGCTCAGCCCAAGCTGCTGAAATCATTCAAATGGCCGCCCCCACCACCAGCCCCCCACGCGGCAGGGTCGCCGCCTGAGCCTTTTTTTTTCTGCCTTGCCCGACGCGGGGAAGCGTCCCGACGTTTTCACCTTTGCGCCTCTCTCTCTCTCTCTCTCTCTCTGTGCCTTTCGATCTCCGACGGCGGGGGCGGCTTTTCCACGGCAGCGGCGCACA